ACCTCTGTCCCATGCTTTTAGCGATCTGCCTTCGACGATGATGGAATTGAAAAGCCTCTGGAGGACTTTGAGTACCAGCTTCCCTCCCGCTCTCAAAAGTGCTGCTGTGATTCCATCATCGCCCGCCGCCTTGTTGTTTTTAAGTTGTTTGAGAGCCATACTATTCTCATACAGGCTGACGTCTGGGATATCTTTAGTATGTGCAGTTATTTAAAAGTTTAGGTCGGGATGGTAAAAGGATTCTAACGATACCACACACATATAAATGGATCCACCCTAAACCCAATAAACCATAACTTCTAATCGGTTCAGGCGTTTAGAACTTATGGTGGAATAAGGAATTGAACATAAATACATACATGAACCCTGAATACATTACACTCCTTTTTTTTGAACAGTCGTGAAAAATAAAAGATAGGCATGTTTTATTAATTTTATAATTATGTTCCTTAGATTAAGATACGGTACGCTCATACTAGCATGAAATAAAATATGATCCGACTGAACTACATATGCAACTCTCACACAAGCACACGTCTGTATAAAAACAATCAATCGAGCGAGCGAGACAGAACTATAGGCTTCAACGCAGCGTATTGTTGTCCTTTTTTGATAACAAAATGATGATTACGTAAATAACATTCACAACAAACCGTGATTTTCGAGAAAAAAATGTTTTTACACTTTTACGAATGAAGTGTTGCCGAGGCATTTGTTAAATAAAACTAGTTTTTTACGGGTTAATGCACGAAACTTTATTTATTTATTGACGTTTCGCAGCCTTCACAGGCTGCATCGTCGGAATCAATTTTTTATTTAATTTTGTCGAGCTACCCTCGAAAGATTTATTGAGCGTTTGGTTATTTCATTGTTCGATTTTTAAAGTTTTATTGTCTATGTATGAATTTATTACTTAATTTAGCTAATAAAGTACTTTATTTAAAAATCTTTTTTGGTAATTTTGAATGGTTTGGTCGCCCTAATGCATAACATTACATTAGATTTGATAAACCACAGATCCTTGCAACTGAGCAATGATTCATTCCTATAAAAAATGATAAAAAAAATATAAAAATAAAGATATAAAAAATTATAGAATGATACGCGAGGCTATTGAGATTAAAAAATATCCAAATTTTAATAGGGAAGATGGTTGGTATATACCACCAGCTTGGGAGCCCATTATACAGGAGATAAAATCCCAACCCCGAATACACACTGCAAGACCAACATATACTATTAGTTCTTTTTGTTTGCATAATTTAACATAAGAAGGAGATAGAAAGCCTCTCTTGAGTTTGTTTCGCCGGTTCTTCTCAGAAAGGTCTCCCAATTTTGGAACCGGTGGTAGTTTACGGTAGTTAGGGTCAAATAAATAAATTCAAAATTACAAAAAAGATTTTTAAATAAAGTACATTATTAGCTAAATTAAGTAATAAATTCATACATAGACAATAAAACTTTTAAAATCGAACAATGAAATAACCGAACGCTCAATAAAAGTCTTTCGAAGGTAGCTCGACAAAATTAAATAAAAAAATGATTCCGACGACGCAACCTGTAAAAGCTGCGAAACGTCAATAAATAAATAAAGTTTCGTGCATTAACCCGTAAAAAACTAGTTTTATTTAATGAGTGATGTGCGTGAAAACTTATGAAACAAATATGAGGCATTTGTTATTTGATTTTGAACTATTTGTGTTCTTTAAAAAAGCATCGAATACATTGTTTTATCTTCATAACACAGAATATAAGCAAATTTGTTATAGAGTGCACATGCAGCGTGTTTGAATGTTCAATTGTGAATACATCGAATTATGGTCATGCACCACAATATAAGCGGAGACGATGGCAAGCAGTGATGGGATTCGAGTTGCTTTTCACTCGAGTGACTCGAGTAGTTTTTATATTACTCGCACTCGATTTAAATTTTTGTCTCAAATTGACTCGTACCACTTGAGTGGTTTATACCGAGCCGAGTGAGAAATTCAAGTTGTGACAAGTTTACCCGCTGTAGGTTCTCTTTGAAATTAAGCAGAAATATGTTTGTGTGAGTTGAATGACAACATAAATAACCAAATTATGACTGTGTGTTATTAGTCAGTGGTGAAAATGAGTAAAAGTGTAAAAAAAGCAATTGTGTGGTATTTTTTTTACAAAAATTTAGGACAAAAAACAAACATTTGTAAGTTTTGCAAAAAAAGTTACAATTTTGATAATACAACTAACTTGATTTCTAACATGAAAAATAAACATCAAGTTTAGTACAAGGATAGCAGTGGTGAATGTAGTTCGTCACAAGCATGTTCTTCGAGTGCAGAAAATTCATTTGTGTTTGCGTTCGACAATTTTGGTCACTCGAGTTTTATATTCCGAGTGACTAAAAATCACTCGAGTTTTATCTTCACTCGAGTGGCATTCGAGTGATAAAGTTACCAGTACCGAGTGACTCCAGTGAAAAAAAAAACACTCACTAATGAGATCGGTATGAGTTTGATTCCATGGAAGATGGGCCGAGTACTGGTATGGGATACAACCTGTTCAGATACGCTGGCCCCATGGAACCAACAAAAGAGCTGGTGCGGCTTGTAAAGTGGCTGAAAAAGCAAAAGCATACAAACACAGAGGTCTAGGCTCCGAATATGATTTTGTCCCATTCGGTTTCGAAACCCTTGGTCCGTGGGCTATAAGGTTTTTTAATGAAATATCAAAAAGGTTAGTCGACGTCGCTGGAGACCGAAGAGCTGTCAGCTACCTCGGACAAAGAATTAGTTTAGCTATTGAAAGAGGGAATGCTGCCAGTATCTTCGGAACCAGTGTTGCCACCTTGGATTTTTTAAGGCGCCAATTCAAAGGTAAAATATCGCCAGATTTCAAAAATTTGGATTTAAAAAAATACACCAGAATCCGCTAAATTACATCTCAGACAACAAAAAACCCTAATTTAAATAAAAAACCAGTGAATATGTATTAGATGCTACAGAAATAACTGTGTTCGTTATCCTGCAGTCGTTTTTAATTAGTATAATTTTGTTATTTAAAAAAAATGGCAATATTGTTTTTACTAACTTATAACTATTCCATGCGTTACCTTAGTAGTACTAGAGAATGAAATAAAACCAGGTAAATATGTATTTACATTCATTATTTATAATCAAGAAATAAATCTTAAACAAAATGTAAAATTTAAAATTCAATATTGTTAAATGTTACACTTCTATAACTTCATCGTCGTTCACAGACGTCGATTCTGTCGATGAAGCCGATGTCGAAGCTGAAGATGTTTGGTTGTGGTTGTAGTGGATTTTTGAAAGAGTATTTTGTGTTTTTTCAATGATATCTTTTGATTGCCGGATAGAATTTGCATTTTTTGTTTGTACTTTTTTGTTTCAGCATGTCTTCTCTACTACTTTTGCTAATAATTCTGCTTTACAAAATGAACAAAACGCCTTCGCATCAACACCTGCTAAAGGTTTAAGCCAAGTTTGGAATTCGTCGAGTGATTCCTATTCTTTTCTATACTTTAGTATGTAATGCTTTTTCTTGAATAGAGTTTCCATAATAAGATATAATTGAATACTCTAAACATACAGCTTCAGGAGTTCATACACTGTTACAAATGATTCTATCAAATCAAACTTTTACACTTTTTAACAACACAATGGCGTTCATTGTGTTGGTGTTAAGTGTCTAATAATTCATGAAACAGAATGAACGATTAAAGGAAGCCCTTAACAGTCAAACGCGTGTAGGAATTCCCCTGTCACAGAGTAAACATAGAACATTATGAAATTTCGGAAAGTTAGGGGATTTCCCCCTTACAAATATGTTGCTAGATTTCATGTTAAAAAACCACTATAAAAAACACTAAAAAAAATATACCCGCTAGATAATGAAAATATACCACTAGAAGCCGTGAAAAAGCACCAGTTCTGGTGGAAAAACCACCAAGGTGGTAACACTGTTCGGAACCTTGCCTAAAGGAAGTCCTTTTAATAATATATTTTAGTTATCATCTTTATATATATAATTCTTCTGTGAGTGTGTATGTCACTGAACTTCTCTTAAACGACTGGACCGATTTTGATGAAATTTTTTGTGTGTTCAAGGGGATCTGAGAATGGTTTAGATTCACAATTTTGTCCGCTGGACAACCCCTATTTTTTTAGGGCGGTACGAAGTTCGCTGGGTCAGCTAGTATTATTATATATTTTTAAAATTTTTAGTTTTAGGTTCATTGTTCCTGTATATATTATCTTTTTAAATAAATTGTAAATAAAAAGCGGATCACTTGACCAGTGTATTACTTTTCTTTATGCTTTTGAGCCGAGAGTGAGTGTATTCCGTAATATATACCAGTATACTGGCCAGTGCTAATGACGTCATGAATCGACGCTATACTGGTGAATTGTTCCGAAATATAATAGCCAGTGCACTGACGTCATAAATCGACGAAACATTAAAAATAGTGCGAATAAAGAAGATTTTTTTATTCACCTCATCAATTAAAAGGAATTCTTTTTGTTCGGATGTCATTATTGTTCTATAAATAAAAAAGAAATAAAATTCGAATGCATCTCACGCACGCTCGATCATACGTCATATTCGTTTTCCCGGTAAAAATATGGTAGCATACCAGTACATTAAGGCGTCGGATTCGTGACGTCATTACCACTGGCCATTAAACTGCTGTTTATTTCGGAATACACCCCGTATCTTCCTTTTTTGTTTTTTTTTATTAGTCGCCCTTTTTAAGGAAAGCAAGGGGAACTAAAGCCCTAACAGCCTCGTCTTTAGTATTTTTTTTCCTTTTCTTCAAAAACCATATAGTTTATTTGAATAATATTTTTGTTTATTTTATGTTGAAGAATAATTTATATTTAAATACATATAATATGTATAAATACATATATATATGTGTGTGTATTAAAATATAATATATTTATATATATTTAAAGAACACAACTAAAAGAACGTCATAATGACAGAAGACAACAATACCCAAAACATTGTAGCACTTTACCCTATGTAAAGAAAAAGATTTCAAATAATTATAAAGGCTGTAACAAAATATTTTAACACTTGCATAAATATTTACAATGATAAAACAAATTACTGCTTTAGTTACCTATTCAATAGAATATATTTCATGCTTTGGCAACAATAGATGAATAAACTTTTCATTTGCCAATAAATTATAATTTTATATTATCATAATTATTTAAAAAAAACGAATATAAAATAAATTCTAGTTTTCTGCCAAACGTTTTACATTTATGTACCCTACGTGTCATAAGGCCGAAGACTGACTACCATACTCCATGCAAATAGCCGTGTCCTTTAAGTTTTGGTTTAGAGAATCATGCCAGAGTCGACAGCAATGTCTATAATATGGCATAGACAATATATTATATTGTCCATACCCTAATCTGTAGTACGGATTTGAAAATAGAAACTATAATTTTGACGTTTTCGGCCGTTATATGTTTTGGATTTTTTGCTGTTGTTTCGTTGATATTTCTTTGCAATTTATAGTGTCTTTCTTTAGAACAATGCTTACAGTTTAGCTTCTAAAGAAGAGAAGATTTACATATTCTTTAATAATGGGTAGCAACACAAGCAAAGCACACCAAGAAACCATTGTACAGCAATCATGGAACGAGGTTGAAATAGGCGATTCTTCGGACCCGAGATCACCAACTCCAGAAATAGTTCGTACACCCTTACAAGTTAGTAATTTCTCTGCTGATAAATTATCCACATTATTTACGTAAACAGCTAAGACTGCCCTCAATATCAACCCTTTCCGAAATTCAACTAAATCTTTTCCATCGACATAAACTTTATCTGCTTGCTTCTTCACCGCCGTACTTCATAACTTATAAGTCTGTTTATTTCTGTCACTTGGCTATACAATATAATAGAGTAAGACTATACGTGCCTAAATGTTCTTTGAGTAGGTACACTCGTAAGATCATTAAGTTTAACCTATATTTACAAGTCGCTAAAATAGAAACACTTTCTTATTATATTTAAAATAGTTTCATTCTCACCTTGGATTATTCTTGTTACAGGGGAAAGGTGGGGCAAAACACAACATCACTAAAAATGTTGATCTAAGAAAGACCTTTGAAAATGCAAAAGGAGACGAAAAGCTTATACACAACAACCCTATTCTATCTGCGGTTATCAAAAATCACTTGCAGTCTTATGATCCTAGATCTCCTACACAGGACTTTGAGCGTACACCAATAGTAATTATGCCTAAAGATGAGGATGGAGGCAATGACAAACATTTATTGAGAGTAAATGAGGCTAATTGTGCTAGTCCTTCACTAAACAATGATGATGATAATTTTGATAAATGTGAAGGAGCCGCAAAAAGTCCAGACTTAGTTGTACCAAAAAATTTATGTGATGGATTTTTTGATATGACTTTAAATGATACTTTAAAAGAAAGTCAGGAACCTTTGGGGTCATCTACTGCGTCCAATGAAGCCATAGAAAATAATATGTCTCCTGATCATGTTGAAAATCCAGAAAAGTTTCTTGAAACTAACTTTGATTTTGTTGAAAATGATAGTGAAGAATATGAAGACAGTGTAGGAAATGTTATTGGCAATGGAAGTCTTTGTGATAGTGATATCAAGAACATACCCTTGTTTAAATTACTTGATGATGACCCAAGATCACCATCTATTGGTATTGAGCGAACACCTATTGTGGTTGCAAAATCTACCCAAAATGTGGGCGAAAGTAATGTTGAGGAAATGTCAGATGATTCGCTAATCAAAGCTCTGCAGAATACCAATGCTGAACTTAGGCAAAATGGTGTAAAACAACATAGCAATAATGTTGATGGACTGCTTATATATGAAGATGAAGCAGCAACTTTAAATGACACTCCAAAGAAGTCTAAATCTTCTAACAATAGTGGTTGTAGAACTCCACTTTCTTGTATGAAAAATAAAACTGAATCAGGACACGCTAGATCTAAATCAGTTAACACTTTGTTTGATCCAAAGAATCAGAATGTACACCAGCAGAAACTTATAAAAAAAGTGTCGCATATACCAAGACTTAAATCTCTATCCAAACACACTAAAGTGATCACAACTAGCAGCACTGTATCATTGAAGAATATTTCTAGAGCTTCAGTTATTAATGGTGACTGTGAAAACACTCCTCCACATTCACACCGTGACAGATGGGACAAAGATAATAGTATCATACTATGAACTCCTTGTGCAGTCTAAAACTGATATAATTTAGATAAGAACTGTGTTTTTAATCCTCTTGTTAAATTGAACTTATAGGTCATATAATTAGCTAATTGACATTTCAATAAACTCACTATTATGACTTGTTATACTCTATATTAAGTTCTCACATATTGAAATAAATGTTAAAAAAATGAGATGCTTTCCTTTATATTTTCTTTTAAACTAATATTGGTTATATTTTATTTTTTTTAAGAATTTAACTGCTAGATGTTTGAATATTGGTGGCAATTCTGGCATGATTCTCTAAACTTAAAACTAAATTTATCTTCAGTCTCCTTTTCATTCTGTATAGAGAATGACAAGGATACAGTGTTTTCAAATTTAAGTATAGGTTTATATAGAGAACCCTGCCAGAATCGACACCAGTATGATTATAAGCTAGAGCATACAAAGGACTTTGGTCCATGGACTTTTTTGTCCACCAAACAAAATGGATATCTTACAACTGCATTGAATAGGTAACGCACACTTGGGATTTAAAGTACCGCGTACGTAAAGTCCCCCGAATAACAGGACGCCGATAAATAGGACTGGGCTAAACTACACGGCAGTCCCCAAGAAATAGAATTCGTGATTAGGCACAGCAACAGACAGCGAACTTTAGATTGCGTTGCACGCTCGATTTGATATAAAGGGTTGAACCCAGTTTACAATTTTAAAACTTCCTGTTTTTCTTAAATACAAGGTAATCCCAGAAACGCGTTTTGTGTACGTAGTCTGTGGCAAGTTTTCGGCGGATATTTTGTATACGATTCAGGGTTTTTTGCCCTCTCTTGATAGCGTGTGAATGTCTGTTACCTCTTCATTCTTAAATAGCTGAACTGATCGAGATGAAATTTGGTATACAGATAGCTTGAGTCCCGGGAAAGAATATAGGATAGATTTTATTCTAAAAATCCTCTTTTAAGGGGGCTGATCTATAGGTGGGATTTTTTTTCCACGCAGATGAAGTTGCAGGCACCTACTAGATATGAATGTAGCTTGAATGGTTATAACACTGACAACATGGTTTTATCATGAGAATGGAGGCCTAGGAATCCTAACAATGTCATAAATGAGAAAGTGTGTTACTCAATCACGCAAAAACGGCGGAACGGATTGAGATGAAGTTTGGCACACATGTAGTTTATCAGCTGGATTTAGACAGGATACATTTTATGTTGGAAAAATTCAGGGTATCTAGAAAAACTAAAGTGTAACACGGCCGAAATCGGGCGGACGCTAGTACACTAAGCTCTAGATTTCCTAATAATAGCGGCCGTAATACAGCGGTGAATGACGTCACTAGAACGTTGTCTATAACAAATGGCGCTGTTTCCTACAGAGCGAACACTATGGCCGCTATATGACGGCACCGCTATCCTAGGAAACCAGAGCTTAATAAATAAAGAATGTGTTTTTACCACAGAACAGAGAAAAGAACGTTTTACGTTCCAAGAGAGGTAGCTACGTAATTAGTCAGATCTCTGCTGATTAACCACTCGAATGTAATGATCCTATTTCATAACGAAAGACAATAAATCTTCTGTAGTATGAATATATGGCTGTCCTTTTTGTGTTTGCAAAAAGTTTCAATTAAAAAGAACACAGTAATTTTAACAGTTTATTACAATACATTTCTACAGATTATTATAAGTAAAATAAGAAAAATAGGTTCTTCTTAAGTAATTCTAGCGATGATACAATTCAGGGAATTAGAAAAATACGTAGTATCTCACTAACAAAGTACCTATCTGCGGTAGGTTGAATACATTACATAATATTATTATGCCAGCTTTACCATACCGGGTGTAAGTAATAGGTAAATATAAACATAAAAACGAATACCCAAAATTAGTTAAGTAAAATAACTTAACCTTTATTAATTGATATAAAAATATATTTAGTGGCAATTAGTCAGAGGCGTACAGTAAGTACTAAAGTACCGATACAGATGCCTTCAAATATTTTTTGGAATGGTTCGTAAATTCGACATCGAAATGAAGATGATTTTTAATTATTAACACAAGCCCAAACAATTAATCATATAGGCAGTTAGTCTCAGATTAAGCTAATAAGATACCTACAGAGTACGAGTTTTCAACATCTTCACAGGCCCCGAAGCGCTAGAATAATAGAAAAAACACGTTTAATATACAAAAAAGGAAATGACTATTTAAAAGTTCTGTAAATATACATAAATCTATTATATGCGGTGTTAATATAAGTTGTATTTATTAGTACTAACAATCAACACACAAGTGCTTGAGGAAAAAACTAACAAATACCTACATAGATTATTTTTGCATTATGAATCACATCCCAGTTTGAAATAGGACAGAACATAGATAAATACAATAACAACCGGTTTCAATTCTCGTTCGTAATACAATAATAAAATATAAACGAATTCTCCCTACCTCCGTCCACAATGATAATTAAGTTTTATTATAATTACCTATTGATATTTGAGGAAGGGGGGCGTCCATAAATTACGTGAGGTGTTTTTTTTTGGATTTTCTGTTCCTCCCTCCCCCCCTGGTGAGATGTCGTGAGATTTTATTCAACCCCCTCCCCCATCCCCCAATCTCACGTGAGATTTTTCAAAATGTGGGTTTCTTTCGTAAACGCGTTGGATTGTTATTGTAGAAAGAAAAAAAAATGCTTCGTGCTTTTATTTACGACTGGTTAAGACTAGTAATCAATATTGCTGAGAGTAAGTAAGATTAGATGAGATTTGACTCGACCCCCTCCTCCCCTTAAACATCTCACGTAATTTATGGACGCCCCCAAGGCTGTTTGCGCCAAAATGTATGCAAAAATAGGTAAGTATATAAAAATTATCCAATAATTGTGCAGGAGCTTCTAGAAAACGCAGACATTAAAATATTTATTATTTTGGAAATTATTGTCAGCTAGGTATTCTATATCTCCGCTGCTTACTAGCATTATTTATGAAAATGTTAATTTCTGACAGATTTTGCTTTACTATTATAGTATAAATCTTAATCAATTTGGAACAGCCTGTAGAAAAGTCTAAGTACCTGTCTAAGTACCTCAAAGCACTATAATGAGAATAAATATAACTTAACAGAAGCTTAAATTCTGAACAGAGAATAGAAAATGTATAATGAAGTTTCAACATTTTAGCACTTATATAAAACAATATATGTATATATAATATTTTAGGCCTTTAATTAATTATTCATAAAACGGTCTTAGGAATGTTATTATCACTTTTAATATTAATACAATTATGCGGTAAATAATTACAAATATTTTTGTTTGAACATCTAGGTAGCGCACTTAAAAAAAAATGTCTTAAAATAATCAGCACAAAAACGAAGTAATACCTATTATATTTTTTGGGTGGATTAAACGTTATTGCTTATGTTAATTTAAGAGCGTCCGCTCTTCGCGAGCTGAGGGACATTTGAGAAATATGAATTTGAAAAAACTATTGTTGTCAAGCATTAGCAAATACCGTTCGATGTTAGTAGTTAACGTTGAAAATTTTTATACGAAAAATTGCAAAATTCGAGGTTTGGCTCTCGACGATTTCCTCCTCGAAAATTAGATACTTATATGCAAAAGAATTTTTACCCATAGAATAATAAGTAGATATACTATGCCTCTATATTTTGCTTTTTTGTAAATGCTTATTAAATCTCCACACTAGACGTCTTTGGTGGTGATAAAAAATTTATTATTGTTAGCATTTTTGAGTGCTTCTAGTGTTTTTGAAACACAAATTATCGAAAAAAGGAAACCATAGGAGCATAGCATGAGTAAAATTATATTTTATGTATAAAAAATCAATTCGTTAGTGATAAAAATCAAGGAGGAATCAGTCGAGAACGTTTGTATGGAAATATATTGTCCGCCTCCCCTCGTAAGTGACTAGGGTTAGTGCTCCGGTAAATGAAGCCAGTCTTCGCGACTGGAGTGCACCACTATCTCACATCAGATAGGGAGGACTAAAAAGCCTATCTAAATATAGAAAAAAAAATGGTATAGATAAAGAACGATAACGTTTCCGATACCATAACGTTTTAAATCAAAATTATATTATTAATTTTAAATAATATATTAAGTAAATAAAATTATGATTTCTAGCTAAATTAGTATGTAACGGGTTTATTCACAGGAGTATGAAATGTTCATACATAAGATTTTGGTGTTCATTCACTGGTGATTTTGGGTCATTTTGCATTAAAACTCTATTAAGTATTTCATAAATTACGCCCATCAATGACATTATTAATGGCAATAGCAACTTGAATATTTTTTTATATAAAAGAGTAGCATCTATGTGGGCCAGCCATCCTGAAGTAGATGCTTCAATTTTTTTAAGTTTCAATATACTTTAAGTGTTCATTTATTGATACCCCTACCCTATGGCCATTAATGAGAAAATTAAAGTTTTTTACATTCGTCTTCGACTTAATAACTTGAGGGGTAAAAGCAAAATAACGCGATCGAATACATGTTGACTGTGATGTGCCCGATAATTACCGTATACTCTTAACTACTTATTACATTTTTTTACCTAATATTTCAATAATAATCAGCACAGAAAGCGGGAGAAGAACCTCTTGGATGCTTTTGATATACGGCAACATAACATGAGTAGAAAATCGGAATAGAGACAAAGCTTAATACATTCGCGTTACGATTCTTACAATTCTATCTACAAGCAAGACGCGTGTATCCATCAAGCAAATTAAGCCAACTGGTTTGTAAGAATAAATAATGTCAAATAATGACTGTTTTCTGTGCAGATAAATTGCCATAAAAACTAACACGGCTACTTGTTAACCAAAGCATAAGGAATCATTCATACAGTACAGTGCGAAGAAGATCTTAATGAATGCGAGTGACAGTTCAGGGAGGGCGCCACTGTCTACGTAAATGACCGTAAATGTCATACAAAATATCACGGTTATAAAGACGGCGGCGTTAGTTCCAATTTTCGCCACATTTATAAAGATCTTGGTCGCACTGTAGACCATAGAGGTATAAGAATAGAGTGGGGAAGGCGGCTCTAAAAGTGTCCGTCTAGTAGAAAGAGAAAGAAGAGAGACCGCTAGCTATCTCACTGTCTTGTAACGCATGGCATCCAATGGCATCACATCGAAATAGTAAGATGCTTACAGTTGCCAATGCGCATGAGCGATTAGAGACAGAAAGCTAGCGGTCTCTCATCTTCTATCTCTTTCTACTAGAGGGACACTTCCACTTATAGTAGAGTCAATATCTCCCCTACTCTATTCTTATACATCTATGCTGTACACTGATATTTTAGATTTAGCGACTAATACTGACACACCTTAAATGGGCCTCTGTGAACTGCGGTTTTTTCTTTATTGGCTACAGCCAGTTAGGTAAACTCCGCCCCCAAATGATTGCTCTTGTGTGGTAGGTTTCGTAAAACCTCTGTATGAATTTTATTCCTTACTCTGTGGTTTTGACAATAAATTTCTACACACATATTTCTCTACAATGTAATTTATCCTACTTTATCATATATTAGACATCCATCTATGAAGTGCTTAACTTAAAAGAATAACATAATAAGTTTATATTTAATTACCAACAAAGATATATTATATTAAGGACACAATATTATGCAATGGTACAAATAAAATTTTTCAAATGGAATGAAAATTAATCACAATATACACAAATGGAATTTATTTGAATTTCATTCAATTTTTAAAGATACTTTCGCCATTTTATGGTTTTTAAATACTGTATAAGTAGAAATAATGCCGGCACTTTACTTGGCTATTCGTGGTTGCTATTTTTTAAGTTGATATCAGTCAGTCCTTTTCATTCCTTATAAAGCATGATAAGGAAAAGCATGGTTATCAAGTTTCTTATACCAATTACGAATACCCAAGTAAAGTGCCGGCCTAAGACGTAGGTACAATAATAAATAATTGGTATAGAGGTAGGTAGTTTTGTAAAATGTCTTTTTCCAAATTCTTATGTATTTATTTATTGGGGCTTCACGATGACTAAAAATTAAACTATTACAATAACTCTGACCAAGGTAATAAGAAACAGGTTTCGTAGTAAACAAATTAAGTATTTAAATACTTATATTGTATGTACTGTACCCTTAGCATGGACCAATATCGAATTCGAATAGTTTGCGAGCGCGAAATGTCAATGTGAAATTTTGTATGGAAACTTGAAAAGCAGCGACAGAATGGACATAACGAGCACTAAAAATCAATACACATTTGACAATGACATTTCGCACTCGCAAACTATTCGAATTCGATAATGGTTCGTGCTAAGGGTACTGATACTAAGTAGGTAAGTGAGCGGCTCGTGAACTCTTATTATGCAAATCATGAACAACGACAACAGTAAAATAACAATGACAAAAAATGTCTTTCAGATTTTATAAAAACTAGGAATGGCGTCGCCAAGACATGGCTACTAGTTTCTCGACTATGACCACCTTATTACATTATTACAAAACGTAGACTAAAGTTAAACCTGGATTAAAACTGATGCTGTTACTCTTGTTTGCTAAAAAGAAGACAGAGACAACATTAGGTTTAAACCAGGCTTACTCTAGTCTGTGTTTTGGAAAAAGGCGGTGAAACCTTTGAAACTATTAACATTGCGTCTGAATAAAACAAATGCATCTCAAGTTCACCTCTACATAATTATAGCAGGAGAATAACAAGGAAGAATATATCAATGAAACTTATGCTATTAAAATATTCAGATTACTTTACCTTGGTCAGGAATCAAGGTGGGCTACTTACACATCAGGCTATATCTCACAAAGATACCAATAAAGGCGCGACTATCATGTAATCAACGATTTGTATGAAACATTCGATAGTTCTTTAATTAAATATTCCTATATAACATCTCACTCACTTGGCCTTCAAATACTTATCTTTAAACACCTGTTTTTTTTAAACATGGTAATACCAGCCTGTATCACTATTCACATACTTTTTTAAAATTTACAATTACTAAGCAGAAAATTGCATATATTATGCATCAATGCTTTTTAGGGCAATTATTGGCGTTATAATAAGTAAAGCAGTAGTGGATCAGTAAATAAAATACCGTGGTGGCTATCACTTCCATCTCTCAACAACAGTTAGCAAATAGGACCAATGATCTGTTTAGATATTTGTTATTCATTAGTTGGTGTCCATCAAAATTGCACGATAGAGGACGCCAATATAGTTTCCTAGTGAGATAGAGACACCTTTAATTCCTACTTTTAAAAATAAAAGCATGAACTTCCTTCAAATGTTCAGTTGTCCTTTTCATTTTTTCCATCTGCAGCAGAATCTGTTGGAACGGTTAGTACATGTTAATAAGAGGCACACGGGCACACCACACTCAAAACTGAGGAGCTGGCGAACAAAACGGTATAATCACATAAAATTAAATTCTACAGGAACTGTATAAAACTGAATGACATACCTACAGTGGCTACAGTAAGCTTTTGGCATGGTTTTTAATTTATAAATTAAGTAATTTTAATACTGTTTTTAATCAAACCCGCCTAGGTTTGATTAAAATTGAGATTCAAATTCAACGGGCCCGAAACCTCCGGACTGTGAAAAAAAGTAGTTTGACCATATGTGTAATTATACCGCTTTGTTCGCCAGCTCCTCAACTATTAGTAGGGTACCTACAATTAAAAATGTTTATGGGATAAGCGTTATTACTAGTACAATTTTCTCAATAGAGCTCAATTATTTACTATATAATAATCTTAGATTAAAACAAAAAGGGAAGATACGGCACTCGCGGCTCAAAATTGATCCGCTAAATTGTGGTGCATAACCACCAACCACAACCACAACAATAGGACATTCAAACACGCTGCATGTGCACTCAATATAACAATATTGCGTATATTATGTGTTATAGAGATAAAACAAAGCCTTTGATGCTTTTATAATAACACAAATAGTTCAAAATCAAATAACATATGCCTCTGCAACACTTTTCATTTGTAGAACTATACATATATTTTTTTAAATCACTGTCGTGAATATTTTTTACGTAATCGCCATTTTGTTATCAAGAAAACGACAACAATACAACTCAGTCGTGTGAACTCCGAAGCCGACTCGCCGTTTCGCTCGCGCTGCGTTAAAGCGCACAGTTCTGTCTCGCTCGCTCGATTGAATGTTTATTTACAGACGTGTGCGTGTGTGAGAGTTGCTTATGTAATTGAGGTGGATCATATTTTATTTGATGCTACTATGAGCGTACCGTATCTTCCCTCTTTTTTTTAATGTAAGATATTAATACAAAATAATTGTCAAAAAATGTGTTATGTGAAAATTTTTTTAAGGTCAAAAGTGCAACAACAAGTGGCACATATAACAAACCCATGGGCGCCGCCAGGATTATTGTCAGGGAGGTGCATCTACACCACATCCTATTAACCTATATAAAATATAGAATTATACAACTACCTATGTGGATAATTGTAATATCAAATATTTCATATTTTTAATACATTCTTTGTATATTTAAATACATACATTTTTTATTTATTTTCATTTATACTTGATGTTAAGTGGTCTCTGTCGCCCATGGATAACAGCAATGCAAGTAACACAATCTTTATGAGGACCATATTATAAGTACTGAAGGAACAAGGTGTACGGCTCATCCCGTAATTTTATTGATCATGGAATAAAAGATCTCTGGAAATGAACAGTTGTGGACTTTAGTGTTCCCAGGTAATATGGGTAAACTCGACTCCGGTGACAGGTGGTGCGGTAAAATGATGCTTTGGGTATTAACTGAAACTATTCCTTGAAGCACTCACCGCATAAGAGCCAAGGCAACAAAAGTCACTGAATAGTTCTAAATGCTCCAGATTTTCCGCTAGCTTGAGATCATCGACATCGGATCCAGATGGTACTCGAGAGCTCCAGCCAAGAGATGTGAGAACCCTCCACCTCAGACACAAGCTTAGTCCGCCAGTTAGTATGCCAGAAACTGTGAAACACCTTAGCGATATCCAGGCTCACTGCAATGGTCTCACCATTATTCTCGAAGACTTTGGCCCAACGTTGAGTGAAGTAAACGAAAAGATCACCAGTTAAACGGCCGGAAAAGTTTTGTCAGTCGTTATTTAGCTGATGCTCCTCAACGTACCTCAAGAAGTTGGCGTTGATCACCCGCTTCATCACCTAAGAGAGCAGGAATGTAATCGGAATGGGCCTGCAGATTTAAAGGTCAGACTGGTAAGCTTTTCTTGGGAATAGGGTGGACGCGAGCAACTTTTCACGAAGTTGGAACGGAGATTGTTTGTAGGAAAAGGTGATACAAGCGCGTCAGGGCGAGGATAAGCTCAGGGTCAATTATTATATTCCGATTGTTTCGTACGTGCAGCTTCTACACTGATCTTATTGACCCAAGACCCAAGAGTTGGGAATGAATAAATCTATCCTCATAAGTACCATGTCACTTACACAATTACCATGACACGTGTCAGGGTCCTTGGTGGGAAAGCAGAGAGTAGGATGCAAAGAACTTACGAAGACCATCCCAATCTGCCAACTTATATTGCCAGACTCTGCGAGATCCATTAGCTGGAGAGCATATGAGACACGCAATGAGGGCTGTAGAACGAACCAGGCATTGATCTGACGCCCCTAATGGGAAATCGACAACCACTTTGCGTCCGTCTGGTTGCGTCGTTAAAAGCAGATTGTTCATATGACTCTCAAAATCTGGGAGTACACAATTTTGGCAGAAAACATAGGCCAGAGCAGTCATGAAAAGCTCAAGGGAGCCAATGAGCAGAGCCCCAACCAAACCTGATGTTTTTATATATAATTTTAAATTTCTCATATTTTAAAATATAAGGTTTTCATATTTTAAGACATTTCATATTTATATTTATTTTGCATGGGGCTAAGTACCACCCTGCTCGCTGGTGTGGTTAGGTAAAAAATATGTAATATTTTTCTAAGTAAGGTACTTTCTTTCCTGACCAGGGGGTGCATGGGCACCAACTAACATCCCCCTCCCGGCGCCCATGAACAAACCAAACCACATGCATTCAATCTTTATATATCTTGATTACCTTGCTGTTCCTCTTGAGTGTTCTGAGCAATAAACTCACGTAGATCTGAATATGCCTTGTCCAAAGTGTCATTCATTATTACGATATGGAAATTGTCAGGTTGGTTGCCTGCAAAAAGAAGCAAAGCATATATTATAAATTACATTTTGTGTCAAGACAGTTGAACTCATAACATAATTTCGATTCTTTGTAGTATCATAATTACATAATTCATAATTGTATGAACCACATAATAACTGTCTATTGCATTAAGGTACCATTACAATTTGATAATAGATTATTTAATTAAAAACAGTAACCTTATTAACAATATATCTTAAAAAACTAATAATTATGTTCTCTTTATGTAACATTTGCATTGTCAGACATGATTGCTAAATAGATAATGAATAGATGAGATAAGATATGGCTATTTTAAATTGTCGGTAATTCAAAGATTGTGGCATAGGTAACTGCAAAAAAGGCATAGATAAAATTGTTTGTTTCAAATATAATTCCTCGGCATGCAACATTGGATGCTTATCAATATTTTATCTTTTTATGGATTCACAGAAAAGGAGTGTTATGATACGTCTTTATTTCCAGGAGAGTATTTAAAAATCTGCCACTTGAGATTTAACTCTCCATCCTTCTTAGAATTAGTTACTCAAATCAAAATATAGGTCAATAATGTTTTTCTTTATATAGCTTTTAGCTCCCCTCCCTGTAGCATGCATCCGCCCCTCGCAGCCTCACGCCCCCAGTAGCCCTTTGGCTCTAGGGCAAATAAAAAATACAAACAGAAGAAAAAAAACATGTTCAAAAAAGGGTTCCAAAGAATGGGACAATTTTTTGATTTTTGAGTGAGTTTTTGCAGGATTGCTGTTATTTTTATACTAGAATATAATTAAAAAATTAATACCATATTCAAGTTCCCGATGTGCAGTTGCTAGGCGTTTCCTCAAACATTCCTCACTCTCTGTATTACGAGCTCTCAAACGGGTCTCCAGTACTTCCATCGATGGTGGCATAACAAACACCAACAGAGGTTCCAAATCAGTATTCTTGATTTGTTTCACGCCTTCTATGTCAATATCGAGAATGCAGATCTTTCCAGTGAGACGTACATCATCAACTGCCTTTTTGCTGAAATTTATTGATAAGACAAGTCAAAACTGGAGTTCATAAACATTAAACAAAATGGTGGTTATCACCATTTTGTTTAGATTCACAACTAATTTATATGATAATAACAAAAATCTTGATTAAAATTCTAAGATCTGGACAGTCAAGTAATTTAGCTTTTGCTTGTTACTCTGTCTAACTGGAGTCGACTGTTCATGTTTGTACTTACCTGGAGTTGACTTTTTATCCTTAGGGTATGTTTAAGCTAAAAATCTAATTATACAAGAAAATGGTACACTGGGTTTAAATAAAAAATAATGTTGTATATTTACAATACCAATTGAAGGTGTTGCCTTTTAAACCTCAATTTCATTATGAGATTTTTATTGCACCACATACTTTATATAAATTTAATATAAAACATGGCATTAGGTTAAAAAAATAATTACTAATTGTATATTTACAGTAGCAATTGTAGGTGTTGCCTCTCAAATCTGGATTTTCATTAAGAGATATTTATTGCACCACATACTATAAATTAATGCTATTTTTAAGCTTAGGACATAATATTTTAACATTCTTTAGGGAAAAAATAGGTTAACATCCATTCCTTTATCTCATAAAATTATATAGTATATCCTGCTTACAGTCAAGCAGGTAAACAAAGACGAAAATGAAGCCGATGATTTGGCAAAATGCCAACTCTCTCAAAACAACGAGCACATGGTCAATACCAAAGTTTCAGAGATATCAAGTAAATAAAATATAACTACCTTGTCCCATACATATTCCCACTGAAGGTTGCAGTTTCAATGAATTCACCTCTTTCTATGGCTGCTTTCATATCACTCTTGCTGGTAAAATGATAGTGTACACCATCTTTCTCACCCGGCCGTGGGTTTCTCGTAGTGTGCGATATACTGAATCCAAATTTATCAGGAAATTCTTTAAGAAGACGTTTAAGTAAAGTACTTTTACCAGATCCCGATGGACCACACAGCACCAAAGGACGAGGCCCCTTTTGCACCATGGTCGCAAAGGCTGTGAAGATAAGTTATTAAATTATGAGCCGCTAATAAGGTTATCGCTCAAAATAAGTTTAATGCTGACAATTTTATTTGGTCTTACATTTTATGAAATTAGCAATAATTTTGATAGTTTTACACACTTAAATAATGAAGAATGTGTGAGAGTTTTTTTAACAACAGGCAAGAGTCATTACAATACTTTTAGAACTGGTAAAGGTGAACGCACGAAAAAGAAGCAAATTGCGTTATTTTGTCACTAATTTGACAAACACTGACAAAACCAGTGCTGCCAGATACAGATTGAGATTTATTCCGAAATGACACCTAAAAATTATCTTAATTTTCAAAAAAGTTGTGTCAAGGTCGGTGCTTAGGAGTAAGATCGATTTTCTCAAACAAAATATGATATCAACATTCACACTGCGGTAAGGTCAAAATCTACATATCAATCGTTGAAACATCAAATAATAATTTTCTGAAATAAAATGGCTTCTGACACCGTTGCCTTATTTTTTTATCTATCAATGTTTTGACGAGATTTTGAAACATTTTGATTTTTGAGTATGAAGTGAAACTTCTTTTCGAACGGGGTGTAAAATGAAACGCGTCACGAGAGTCACACGACACTATATATATATATATATATATATATTTTTGTGTGTGTTTGTGTGTGTGGGCTGCATGTGCAGCTCTTCTCGATCAGCTTTAAAGTTGGAGGGTAACTCGGTAGAGGTGCGTATATATTACCAAATAATATAGAAACTCTACGAATTAATAGGCACAGCTCTTGGCGTTTGTCATACAACGACTTGGCAACCTCTGAATAGCGCCATCTGTTGGCATAAGTTGATCATTTTTTTTTTGCTAGTACCTTTCTATAGCGAGTAGCTATTAATTCAACTAAATAAAACAACAGGCAAATTATGAATGAGTAATTTTCTGATGGTCTGAATTGTATTTTTTTCTTTAGTGTCATTAATTTTATTTCCATAAACCTTAATTAACACATTGAAATACTTATCTAAAAACAATCTTATACAATGCTTACATATTAACATATTTTCTGTATTTACATTTGAACATAACCTAGCCTTAACATTATTTACAGACATTTTTGTATAATTATCTATATTATCTTTAAACACTTTATTAATAATATCTGACATTCTTTTAGCATTTTCATTGGCGAAAAAAAGCCTTGAAGAATTGTCATATTTCTTTAGCGCTATTTGTGTGTTTTACTACACTATAATCATTAAATAGAATACACAGTAAATTTCTGCAATCGTCATGTAACAATTGACTGCATACCCAACCTAATACTTAACATTACGATTTTTTTTTAGATACATCGAGAAGGTACTGTATGATTTCATTATTTGCAGAAGCTTTGTGTACATGTACTTCTGCAAAATTAACTCTTTTTACCCAACTGCGCAATACAAGAGCGCGAAGCGCAACGCGCAGACAGGGTATAGTGTTTGACAGTCTATAATTATGTATGTATGTTCCTTTGTGGCACACTAGAGACCAAATGCGTGGACCAATTTTAATGATTTATACATCAATCAATTCGTCTTAATCATGGGAGTGCTACTAAAGATATAATAATAATCTAAAACCAATATGGAAACAACTGGGCGCCATATTTTGAGAAAGAAAAAAAAAGTTGCCGAAATATGTCGAGTGGGGTGCCATTGGTGTCGATTCTGGCATGATTCTCTAAAGCTAAACTTAAATTTGACAACAGTGCATCCCTGTCATTCTCTATACAGAATGAAAAGGAGAGACTGATGTTAAATTTAGTTTTAAGTTTAGAGACTCACGCTAGAATCGACACCAGTGTCTAGATAATCGAAAATAATGTTTAGGTTCCTCCTAGGAAATTATTTTAATGAAAGTAACTCCAGGAATCGATAGAGAGACAAATTCTAAGCAAAATTTGTTATATAAAGTTTTTGGAATAAGTCAATACTTTCTGAGTAATTAAAGATCAAAGATTGTGATTTTTCTTGATAAAAATACATGTTTTAAAGCGATTTTCCATAAATAACTCAATAACTATGAGTTTTTACAAAAAAAGTATTATTACCAAAATTGAAGCGATTAAAAAAAACAAACAACCGTTATTTTTTTAAAGATTAATGGTTAAAGGGTCCCGGTTACATGGTTCTCGCAGTAAAAGTAAGGTTCTAAATGGCTCTATCTCGGTTATTTTTCATCTTATAAAAATAAAACAGAACCAAAATATTTGTTAAAAAAAAGGACTCAAATTTCGTTATTTACCTTTTTTTAAGGAATATCCAATATTTTTGAAAGTTATTTTCAAAAGAAAATAAAATTTACGAAAATATGGAAATTTACTAATTTCTTCAATCATACTTTTTTTATTAAAAATAAGCATTCTAAACCGGGAAAATTTTTTGAGGTCATCATTTATGCTAAAAAAATAGAAAGTCCTTTAGGGATAACCATAAATTTGTTTTTTTTTGGAAAGGGTGAAGGTTTCATTTTTCGTTTTTTTCAAAAAAAAAAAATCAAAAGTGTCATCTTATTTTTATCATAATTTGCTCAATTTTGATGCTATTAACTTGTTACAGGGCTCATTAGAAAGGTATTTCTAAAGACTTCAAAAGGTGTTCAGGAAGTATATGTCATAGAATGCATCGGTTCCCCGTTATTTAGGTTTAAATACTTAGATTTAAGTACTCGCCGATAAAAATATAAATTAGAAAAAAATCCACGCGGACCAGGCAGCAGACGGGACTCGAACCCGCACCCTTCGCAATCCGGGCGAATGCACTGACCAATTATGCTACCGCGGCCCTCACGGACCGCGTCGAAATTCTTCTAGCCATTCTTAAGCTGCAAGGCAGCGCCATCTCTTCGCATTATAGGTAACCCACAATGTCAAATGAATACTTTTACAAGTATTAAACATTTGAAAGAAGAAATAGCAATTATAGTTATAAATTTTATTATTTTTAAAGCATGTAACTGTGAGGGCCGCGGCAGCATAATTGGTCAGTGCATTCGCCCGGATTGCGAAGGGTGCGGGTTCGAGTCCCGTCTGCTGCCTGGTCCGCGTGGATTTTTTTTCTAGTTATATTTTCTTTAGATTTAAACATCAAGCAGTTACATGCTTTAAAAATAATAAAATTTATAACTATAAATGCTATTTCTTCTTTCAAATGTTTAATACTTGTAAAAGTATTCATTTGACATTGTGGGTTACCTATAATGCGAAGAGATGGCGCTGCCTTGCAGCTTAAGAATGGCTAGAAGAATTTCGACGCGGTCCGTGAGGGCCGCGGTAGCATAATTGGTCAGTGCATTCGCCCGGATTGCGAAGGGTGCGGGTTCGAGTCCCGTCTGCTGCCTGGTCCGCGTGGATTTTTTTCTAGTTATATTTTCTTTAGATTTAAACATCAAGCAGTTACATGCTTTAAAAATAATAAAATTTATAACTATAATTGCTATTTCTTCTTTCAAATGTTTAATACTTGTAAAAGTATTCATTTGACATTGTGGGTTACCTATAATGCGAAGAGATGGCGCTGCCTTGCAGCTTAAGAATGGCTAGAAGAATTTCGACGCGGTCCGTGAGGGCCGCGGTAGCATAATTGGTCAGTGCATTCGCCCGGATTGCGAAGGGTGCGGGTTCGAGTCCCGTCTGCTGCCTGGTCCGCGTGGATTTTTTTTCTAGTTATATTTTCTTTAGATTTAAACATCAAGCAGTTACATGCTTTAAAAATAATAAAATTTATAACTATAATTGCTATTTCTTCTTTCAAATGTTTAACACTTGTAAAAGTATTCATTTGACATTGTGGGTTACCTATAATGCGAAGAGATGGCGCTGCCTTGCAGCTTAAGAATGGCTAGAAGAATTTCGACGCGGTCCGTGAGGGCCGCGGTAGCATAATTGGTCAGTGCATTCGCCCGGATTGCGAAGGGTGCGGGTTCGAGTCCCGTCTGCTGCCTGGTCCGCGTGGATTTTTTTCTAGTTATATTTTCTTTAGATTTAAACATCAAGCAGTTACATGCTTTAAAAATAATAAAATTTATAACTATAATTGCTATTTCTTCTTTCAAATGTTTAATACTTGTAAAAGTATTCATTTGACATTGTGGGTTACCTATAATGCGAAGAGATGGCGCTGCCTTGCAGCTTAAGAATGGCTAGAAGAATTTCGACGCGGTCCGTGAGGGCCGCGGTAGCATAATTGGTCAGTGCATTCGCCCGGATTGCGAAGGGTGCGGGTTCGAGTCCCGTCTGCTGCCTGGTCCGCGTGGATTTTTTTCTAGTTATATTTTCTTTAGATTTAAACATCAAGCAGTTACATGCTTTAAAAATAATAAAATTTATAAAAATATAAATTACCTATAGCTCACTTTGAATTAATTTTAGAAGGTTTTTCAAAGTAACCCCTACTTTTTATTAGTTTGTTTTTATTAGCTTAAATTTTGGTAATAATATTTTTTTTTGTACTATATTATTGTGGTTTGCTTATACGGAAGGTTGTTTTTTTTTGAGATAGTAACGGTTTTGGATAAAATTATTTCTTTATATTTAAAAAAATGACAAATTTGTCAAGCTTTGGTACAAACACATCGCGTTAATTATCTTCAAATGGTCTGAAATGCTAGATATATGTGTAGTATATTGTGGGACAGAGGAGATCATTTTTGTTTTTTTTTCAAATTGCAAACAATTGCATAGTTACATAAAAATTGTTAGCATGTGTGCGTTTTTTTGTTTGTGTGACCTAATTTTTGAAGTGTGCGTTTATAGCAACAACACGCTCGTGTTTGGTGGAGTATTGCATATTTTCATTAGTGTGCTATACGTGTGTACCTCGTCCCGCACCAAAAATGGTGAAATATTTTGTTCGGCGAGTGAACGCTATGGCGTTTCCAGTCGTATATGCTCTAAGTATTGACTGATGTCATTAGGATTATATCACTAAAGCATAATTGACCCGCAGTACGGTGGCGCGACTGTGGCGCATATGTACACAGACTTACAATAAATATTCTAAGTCTGTGCTTATGTATGACCTTAACGCCATTAAAATAGAGGTTCATTTATTATAATTGGAAACAAAATAATAAATTTTATTTGGAACCGCAAGTTGGCATTGCAAATTAGCAATCCTTTCACCCATCGAAACGAACGTTGACAAGATTTTGTTCAGTTTAGTTTCGTTACCGAAGCGTTTCGAAGACTAGTTTTAGTCTAAGAGCAAAACGGTTGCGTTTCGTCGTCAAAAAATTGAGAACGACCCACCGCTACTGCAAAGGTTCTGAACTGACTGAACAGTTCTGCCAAATATTCAAAAGTTCTAAAATCGTAGCAAAAGTTCCGCAATGCCAACTCTAAACATTTTTTTTGTTTACTCTCCTGTATAAGAAGGCAACAAGTACTAAGTCCATAAAGCTTAATCTTTATAGTTTTCTTTCTTCTATATTAACATTGGAATGTGGGTTGTGTAACTAATTCACTACGAAAATATTAGATTTCACCATAATCTAATCGCGTTGGAGTATTCTGGTTTTGCACGAAACATCTTCGTTTCTAAACTTCGATCAATAATCAATCAATAACGGGTTGCATACATAATCAAAGCCAAAAACTGTCCGCGTCTGTTTAATTCACAATGAACAAAGATAAATGTTTTAAAACAGTTTAAGTTAAATCTAATAAGAACTAGGTATATCACAAAGGTTACAAATAACAAAATGTTATTTCGCTCATATGACCTTTTATCTTATAAAACGAACTCTATAAATTATATCTGATAGGTACTTGGAAAAAACGATAAAGATAAAAAAAGAAAAATGTAAAATCAACCTTATGACCCACAAAATATTTTTATTTTACCAGTCATTGGCCAGCGAGTTACTTCGTTTTGTATTAACCGAACTAATTTAAAATAAGATCTCACGCCTCAAGTGAGGCTACATTTACTGATTTTACGAGCTGACCCGTTAACTATAGATCGAAATTTCTTAATAAGCTAATTTTACACAGGTCATTTTACAAATAATCAAATGGAGAATGCAGTCACGAGTTAGCATTCTCAATTTAGCTTATTGGTGAGATTGTCAGTACTACAATAAAAAGCTTACGTTCACTTGAATAGAATGAATAACAAAATAAGAATGAATAACTAAACGTATCATTTTAACTTTCGCAAAAACCCTTTTGTTAGATAGTACTTACGGGTGGTAGGTGGGAGTAGGCATATAGAAAAATATTCTGTGTGAATGGTCTCTGCAAATATTTTGTAGAGGTCATAGGCTCTACTAAATTAAATTATTATTCTAAGATCTATCTTATCGATTACATGCACTGAACAAATGTATAAATGTAAAACGTTTCTAGGCATGTAGAAAAATATTTTCTATGAATGGTCTCCGTAAATATTTTGTAGAGGTCATAGGGTCTACTATAATAAATTATTATTCTAAGATCTACCTTATCGATTGCATGCACTGAACAAATGTATAAATGTAAAACGTTTCTAGGCTGTGTGCATCTTATAACTTTGCTTTGCAATAAAGAAATTGAATCGTTTTAACACAGCTGTTTCCTGTTGGTAGCAGTTAATAAACTTTTTTCTCTGCATTTATTTATTTTACGAAAAACATTAACTATCTGCAAATATTATTAAAAATAGTATTTTACTTACTCATATTTATGAGTATTTATTAGTTTTATTTGCATTTTACATAATAAGAAGTTCAACTTCGACTGCTGTAGAGATGGTCAACCAATCAGGATAAAGTAACATTTGATTTGAACCTGATCCGTTATTTCAAAGTAAAGTCAAATCAAACAAATCATTTTGCGTGAGGTGAACAAATAAATTATTTCTGTCGTTTGGTTGGATAGTCTACAGCCGCAAAAAGAAGTGCATCTGAATGTGTTACACATTTTAATCAGCTGTACGATTGTGCCGCGACTTGATTTGTGATCGAGTGCCATTTTTGGAGGACCCCAGGATAAAATATGGAAATTGTTCGCAGGCAAAAACAGGTAATTTTGATAATTAACATTTATTTTCTAATTTAATTACTTAAATTTTATGCTGATTTTTTATTGTGAATGATAATTAGGTGCACCTCCAAGATCAAGAGAATGTTTATGCTATCAAAGGAAAAGGTACAACAGCGTTGCCCACGAAACGGCAAGGTCTTGGAATACGAGGAGCGTTAGGCGATTTAAATAGCAATGTGCAAGCTCAGCGCGATGCTAATGTGGGAAAAGTGGCCGTTGCTGCAGCAGAATACGAGAAGAAGGCGACTCTAAACCGTGGTGCACTGAAAAGGTAAATTAGTTTTTTTCTACCCACAACAAAAAAAAATAAAAATTTTGTCCAAGTTTTCTTCATAAAAAGGATTTATTTAACTTAAAGATGTTGCCCCGTTTGTGTTTTTGGGTCAAATTTAGGTGTTAAGTTTTTTATACCGATATTCTCAGATTATTTAAAGAACAATAGGTCTGTAATCTGAGGCTTCCATAATTTGACTGTGACCTCTAAAAGGTTGTTCGTAAAAATTCAACTTAATCAGCCAAAACTTGATTCTATAACTTATTTTATTTCCAGTAGCAACTATAACCATGTTCAATCAAAAGTGGACACTGGGTTATCTGGGAAGCTTTCCGTCCAACCAACTTCTAGACCTCCTCTAAGACGGGAAGAAAGCACTGCAGGGTTGGCGGCTCGTGCTATCGCTCGATCAAAGGTAACTTTTTGAAATCAAATGATCAATGTTAAATTCTTAATGATATTCATCAGCTATAACAACCAAATGTATTACTTGTTACAGCAAAACAAAACATACTGTAGGTGCTTCAAAGTTTTTCATAATTAACTTTTTTACTTCCCTTACTCATACTACATACATACATATGGCAATAAATATATCTACTTGTATATATTGCTTGAAACAACTATCAGACATAACGTCCAAAGTTATAATACTCAGCAATAAATTTGGGACAAACAATACAAATTATTTAGTACAAACTAAGCAGAATTTGTACTTTTGAAAGTAAAGTACATAAATTTTTCAATAATATGTACTTATATCATAAATGCAAAAGTGTGTGTTGTTACATTTACCAATTTAGCTGTAATTTGGTACTTTAGATATAGTTGGTGTTGCTGGAAAGGATTTTATCAGTTTTTATGGGGAGGTTTTAACCCAGATTTCATCCTTTAAAGGGGTGAAAAGGGGTGAAGGTTTATAAAGGAAGCCACCGACCCACTAGTCTTTAACTGATTTAGCTGAAATTTGGTGTAGATATAGTTTAAGGTGCTGGAAAGGTATTTTTTTATGGAGAGGTTTTTAACCCAGAATTCATCCTTTAAAGGGGTGAAAGGGTGGAAGTTTATATAGGAAGCCACTAGTCTCAATTCATAAGTCAGGGAATAGGTTTGTGTCAATTCAAAATATTTTTTATTTTCTATTAATGTTATTATGGTAACTGTTATGAAATGTACAGTTCCGTATAAAACCTCTTATAAGAGAATTATAAGAGAAATCTCTTATAATTAGGAAAAACTTGCTCAGCTTTACAAGAAAAAAACCTTAAACGGATTCTATCTTACTATTATTATTTAGGTTTTTCTGGAGCTATGCAGTCCCAGTAGAACTGTATTCACTGAGACCTAAAAGATCTATTGTAATTCGCCATCAAGTTATATATATCTCTTTTAGCCTGACAGTTTCCATGAAGCTCAAAATATTTCTGGCATTTAGAGATTTGATTTATTTGTTCTTCTCTTCCACATCCTACATTTTGGTGCCATCTGTTAACCAAATTAGACTACCAACCATGCAGGATTCATAGGCATTTGACTACATTTCTGTGCTTGGAAGCATGTCATCTTTAAACAGGAATCCCTTTTATCGTGGGATTTGTAAATTGATCTTACTTTCGCAGGGAGGGAACTCGTACCTTCGCCGCGTTAAGAGCCCTTTCACATTTTTTGCAAAAAATCGTTTACCCTCTTAGAAAAGATTTTGAGTATTTCCAATAGGAGTAATCTGCAGATTTATTCTTCCTTTTGTAAGTTAATGTAGAATATTTGCAAATACTATTTTCCTTTTTTTGTACTGATCGTTCTACTGCAGCTAGTTTACGGAAAAAACGATAATATGCACAACTTCAAACGCCTCAATCTCTCAATAATGTTCAATAAGTAACATAATGTATTAGAATTGATTTTCCATCTCATTAATTATCAAAAAAAAACATCTAACCTCCGTGAGTTTTCCCAAAAAATAACGCAGGTTTACCTTGTATTTTGATATTGAATTAAATAGGATTATTATCAAAAACTTTCATAAAATTAATCTACAATCATTGAACTACTGAATTAATTCATTAATAATTATTTTATGAGACTCGAAACATCACCGTAAAATTTAATATATACTAATGCAAATTTACCTACGCGCCGAGCAGTACGGCAGCGGCGCAATTTAACAGGGCTCTTAATGTCGGTGGGCGAGAGAGGCATCTAATGCTTTTTCCTGACATGAAAAAAGCTCTCAAGAGCCGCTTTGGTTTGGGTATTTTAATTTGACCATTCTGACTTTCTCTGATTTGAGAGATGCAAGTTTCGTCTGGTTTGTCCCTGAACTAGCGTCTATATTAAGAGCGTTTTCACATTATTCGATCCGATATCGGTGTCGGGCGACGATAGCCGACACCATGTGCTAGTTTCACATATTTCCGATAAAATCGTTCCGATACGGCCATTTGCTCGATAGTTAGTGCGGGCAGGTCATCATGGCAGACTATAATAGAAAACTTTATTTGCTGTATCTATTATATTTGAGACGCAAAAACAGATCTGTCCACAGACAGTATTGGATACATCCCATTGTGGAAGCTAGATATTCAGAGGGAGCATTTTATACTCTTTTTAGCAAGCTACAAAACGCACCCAGAAAGTTTTTTAATTACTTTCGTATGAGTGAATCGTATATATAGTATATATATATAGTATATCGTATTTAAATGATGACGACGCCATGATAACAACAACAACCAAACTATAACAAACAAGTTCAAAATGGCCGCCGCGCATCGGGCTCTATGCACACAGAGACAATTTAGATACACGTATAGCACACGTACAAACATTATCGTCCGACGGCTCACGGGTCTCCGATGGTGCCGCCAGCATATCGGTGTCGGCTCCGATATCCGATATCGGGCCGGACAATATGAAAGACAGGTACATATTTCATACATTTTACTTACCCCGATATCGGATTGGCGTCGGACACCGATATCGGATCGGATAATGTGAAAAGACTCTAAGCGCCGAACCGCATCCATTATGTTTTTTTCAAACTTTTCAAAATGTGGCTATGGGTATTTGTGACTATCTTAGCTCTTTTGTCTAGATATAACATCTGAAGCCCGTCACAGACGTAGCTATAATATATATTAATATGAATCATAGCAAGACATATTACAACATATTTTCAATATAAATTTTCGAGTGACCGCACACGCAGCTATAATATATATTTCTATGACGTCACCAAAATATGTCGACAGATATATTTTGGCATATTAGTGTATATTTTGGTATATTAATATATATTTTGATATATTAATATATATTTTGATATATTTTTATGATACGGTATGTTTCATTTTTCACCGAACGCCTGCCAAAATATATATTATAGCCGTGCCCCGCGGTTTCACCCGCGTTTTTCTCGTTTCCGTGGAAATACTGAGATAAAATATGCAAGCAAGCGCGCGTGGATTTCCTTAGCAGAGTTATTTTAGAAATGTATTTATTATACTCTTTAAAGATCTTATACTTACAATCATCAACAAATATATTTCAAAAAGATTATTACAGGATTTTATGTTAATAAAAAACTCTATGGCCCATAACTCATTAATAGGTACCAACTCTTAACATCTTAGGCCGTATACAGAAAGAAAGCCGAAAGCCGATCGGCGCCGATCGGCGCTTATCGGCGCCGATCCTTCCTACATAAAGGAAGCCGATTAAAGCAGATCAAGCAAAATGTCGGACTCATCGGACGATGATTTGGTTTTGTTAGAAAATGTTTATTTAAAAATGCGAAAAACAGCTATACCTATAAATAGAGAAAGGAAACGTTTCGGAGAATACCATAATTTATTTGTAAAAAAAAATAAATTTGATGAACAAAGATTTTATACATATACAAGAATGATTCAAGAAACATTTTATTACATTTTGGATTTAGTGAAAAACCGTTTGATGAAAAATTAGGGCAATTGGCATAAACAACCAATCCTTCCAGAAGAAAGACTTGTTGTCACCATTCGATAAGTACGAAACAAATAATTTTAGCGCTTAGTTAATAAAAGATAAAGTTATTAGATTTATAAAAAGATTATAACTTAGATTGATTTAATCTAAGGAAAATAATTCAAATACAAATTATTTATTATTCGGACCAGCGCGAGTCGGCTCTTATCGGCGCTTATCGGCGCCGATCGGCGCCGATCGGCGCCGGTTAATAGAAAAAGGATCAGCGTCAATAGGCGCCGATAAGCGCCGATCGGCGCTGATCGGCGCCGATCGGCTTTCGGCTTTCTTTCTGTATACGGCCTTACACACGTGATAACTTTTAAACGAAATATCCGATTGAGATGAAACAAAAAGTATTTTACTTCTACATAAATACTCTTGATAACATAATGCTTAATTTCGATAAATATTAATATTACGATACATATTTAACGTAGTTTTTTTTTCTTCAGACGATGTAATAATTATTTTAAACACAAAATCGGTTATTGTGATTAAACCATGATAGCTAGATATATGTTCTCGCAGACTTTTTTGTAGGTCTTAATGGGATCTACAAACCCGTAGTACATCATTTTGTTCTATTGTCAATAGTTTTTGCAGCGCACGCAAAAATAGGTTTTCGATTTTACACCTTGTGTTACAAAATAGCTATTTTATTACGGATCCCTAATTTTGAAAGAAAAAAATATAGCCTATAGCCTTCCTCGATAAATGGAATACCCAACACTGAAAGAATCATTCAAATCGGTCCAGTAGTTCCAGAGATTAGCGCGTTCAAACAAACAAACAAACTCTGCAGCTTTTTAATATTAGTATAGAAGTATAGATAGTACAGCTCCCGTCTGTGGTAGTTTGTATAATATCTCGATATATAAATATCTATACGTCTGTGACGGGATATATTTTGGCATATTAGTATAATACGGAATGTTCAACTTCTATTTTTCGTTCCTGACAAGGCAACATGCATATCAACAATACTTTCAATTAAATCTAAAAGTAGTGCTCTTGTCCAATTCATTTCGGTAAGATCGATTATAACGTTATTTCAAAATTAAAACACCCTGTGCTAGAAAATAAGCTTTAAAACCGTGCGCTTGCAAAAACGACCGCAGACCGAGTGAGGGCAAAATATATATTATAGTATAGCTCCCGTCTGTGGTAGTTAGCTATAATATAATATATATTTCGATATATTAATATATATTATAGCTACGTCTGTGACGGGCTTAAGAAGTTGATCATTCGGTTCTGGTCGGTACGTTTGGATGGAGTACTGTCCTCATATTTGGAATAGTTCTGCTAAATATCAGCAGGCCCTTGCCCTTGATTCTGTAGAGCGCCAAGCTACTTGATGACGCCGAGCTCGATAACAGACTTAAGTTCTTCGCCAACACTGCTCTCACCCGTTACCGCCCTAAACTAAGGCCACTACTCGCAGTACACGCGGTGACAGCCAGCAGACATCCTCTCGCCGCTTTCGCTTTTTGCGATAGACATAGTTCGTTATCCGTTCCATTGAACTTTTTCGTAAAATCTTCGTATTTCAATAAGTTTCTCTTTATTCATTCGAGAATGGCCTATTAGCAGTCAGACAGGACCGCTAAGCTTGTTTGCAACGCTCCGAGAGGCGTTCCTAAGTCCTTACTAAGTCAAGAGCACCAATGCAAAGTAGCTAGTCTGTTTGTATCTCACTTGTGGACCCCATCTCCATTCCACGATCGGACAACCAGACAGGGGGAGGGGTTTTACCCTTGTGTTGTGGATGTACTATATCCTGAACCATACAAAGCAATTTGCCTCCTGCTTTCTAAGATGCATGACAAGTGCATCTGTGAGTTTTTAAGATTTTTGTTTTTGGCGGACCTTAATAAATAAATAGGAGTAAACAGAGTTATTGTCTGAGCATGCTCCAACTTGGTCTCCATTATCGCTTTCTAATGTGAAATCGGAGATAAATGCGCAAACAGTAACTATTAAAAATATTTTAAATTTAAATGGATCAATTTACTTGCAGGCTGTTCTGAAGGACAACAAATCAGAATATAAAGAAAATATAAATATCGTGATACAGACCAAAAAATGCTTCCAAGATATCAAGAAATCTTCAAAGTTGCCAACTGTAAGAGAAAACAAAGTTTTGAAACCTATTCTTAAAGAATCTACTGAATCATTGGGCAAATTAAAATTGGCTGAATCTAACCCATGTTCTGAGAGAACTATTGGTTTGATTGATCACAAAAAACTTATCAAGCAATCAGAATTGTTAAAATCAAAAGAAACTCCAGAGTTACCCGATGACATTGAAGACATTGATGCTGGGGACAAGAACAGCCCACTGCTCATGTCGATTTATATTAAGGACATTTATCGATATTTGACTGAACTTGAAATTAAATATGCTATCGAGCCAGATCATTTGAGGAAACAGGTTTGTTGTCAAAGTTTGCTTTAGTTTAGACTGTTAATTTTCTATAACGTACTGGCTTTCCTCCTACTTCCACCACACATGCATTTTGTACATGGAGACTTTAATTTTGTGTTCGATGAACAAGCACTTATTCAACATTGTAATAGACTAAACATCACAGACATAAAAACTCCATAATTTGAACATAACCACTTGATCTTAGATCTTAGAGTATGTATATACTCTGATCAAGATCATCAATAGGTTTTTGGAAAGTTGCTTACAACTAATTTTATTCTTGTGAGATAAAATCCTAGTCCTATATGAGGACAACAATTTTTTTATGTTCATGTTTCAGACTGTAATTACTGGAAAGATGAGGGCTACCTTGATTGACTGGTTAGTGGAAGTCCAACGTCAGTTCTCCTTAGTTTTGGAAACATTCCATTTGACTGTTGGTATTATCGACCGTTATTTACAGGTGGGTGTTGCTGATATCAGCATATCAGATTTGTGTACATTATATATATATATATATTATTGTATAAACTGTGATCGTTTAAACCAAAATTCATGGATTTTGAATAAGTGTTTTTAAACCATTTTCATTAACACATATAATGGTTTACTTCAAGGACTAAGTGCGGAAACCATAACCTTTAACTTAGAATATAGAACCATTTTCATTGAATTTAACAGTTTTAAACCACAGATTTTGGTTTCAACCAGTTTATCAAAACAAAATAGGCTTGCTTTATTGCCCTATTATTATCATTTAGTATGACAACTGATGCAGAAGGCATTAATACCTATTTATTGTATAATTAGCATACTTTTGGACATTGTACTTAGTGCATTCAGTTACTTAGATAATGAGTATTGGTATGTAATATGAAATTTTAGGCAGTACCAAACATTCAGAGGAATCAACTCCAACTCGTGGGAGTGACGGCAATGTTCATAGCCAGCAAGTATGAAGAGATCTACGCACCGGACGTTGGGGACTTCGTTTACGTCACGGACAATGCGTACAGTAAAGCCGATGTGTTCCGGTGCGAGAGGGATATCATGTCTAAACTTGGCTTCTGTCTGGCGAGGCCGATACCACTCAGCTTTCTTAGAAGGTAGAATGAAAGTTCTATTTATTTATTTATTTGGCAACATTATTACATCCAACATTATTAAATAATACATTTTATACATAAAAATTCAAATTCAAATTCAATATCGTTTATTCAGTCTAGGCTGTTACAAGCACTTGTGAATGTCGAAAAGCTACGCCATCGGTTCGCAAAACTATGGCGGGAGACCTTGTACTGAGAAGAACCGACAAGAAACTCAGCAAGGGCTGCTTTTTTCTCCCTGTTTTATTTCATACAGTGTCGTCCAATTGAAAGTTGACATCAAACTTGCAAACATGTGTTGAGGTCAACTTCCATCACATAATGTCAAATAGACAATCAACGAATTTACTAACAATAAGTGCAAAGATAAGTCCCAAAATAGCAAGAAACAATTTTCAAAACAAAATGAACAAGTATATGAAAGGGAGTAAGTGCAAGGTTCTCTTCAAAACTCTTTCTAAGGCTGGGAGCCTTAGTTTTAATATAACTTTTAAAAATATTTTAAAATTATCTACAGGTAAAATTACAACCAGGCCGTTTTATCATTCAAATATTGATTGACAGTATAATATCCTTTCTTAAGTAAACAATTCTTAATGTGTATTTTAAATTTATGAGGAGGCAAATCAAGGATATCAATAGGAATCTTATTATAGAAATGTATACCTTGACCCATAAATGATTTATGAACCTTCTGTAACCTGTAATTTGGTATCTTGAGTTTATTTTTATTCCTTGTATTAAAAGAATGTATGTCACTGTGTTTTAGATAATAGTTAATATTGCTTCGAACAAAAAGTATGCAATTATAAATGAATTGGGAAGCAACAGTCAAAATCCCGATTTCTTTAAATTTTTCTCTAAGAGATGTTCTAGAACTAAGTTGATAAATAGCCCTTATAGCTCTTTAGTTCAGTTTTAGCTCATAGTTGTGCAAAAACAGTTAGAGGCATACACAACTCATATTTCTGACAAAATGAGTGAATAAGAATTAAACTAGTTATACAAACAATTCAATTTATGTCCTGGGTGGTTTAAACGCGGGACTCTCAGAAAAAACGTAAGATTGAGGTTGATTGAGGTAGACGCCGCATGTACAAACACGGTCACGGGCGCCTGAACAGCTCTAAGGCGGTTTTGCCATGCACTCGTTTTATACGATACGTTAGTGGGCGGGCTCTAGACTTTTTATGAATGAACAGCAATAGCTCGGTTGTGTTGTGATGAATGTATGCTCATGATATTACATTTTGTTTGAATTCGTAAATGATTTAATGAATGTCCGTCCTCTTTTCAATTACCTACATAATTAAATCCGGAAACAGTTGTAATCGTTCGTGCTATTCACGAAGTAAGAGTTCTGTAGATTATTTAACGACTTATTTATTTATAAGAATCATAACTCCTGAATAATTCAGTGATATTTTATATGTCATTTACGGCTGCACTCAAAGAAGTCAATTAAAGGTAATGCTTTATTAAGTCGCGTGTTGGCTTATTTTGTTTTACCAAGAAATTTTGTTTCTACAAAGAAAGTGACAGCATCAACTTTAATTTAAATTAAAAGTTAATTGGCGTCTCTGAGTACGGCAGCGATTCAGCGTAACCTAAGGGTCTCATTAGAAAGGGGTTTGTGATTAATCAAGTATAACGCGCGCTCCAATTCAAGCGGGGAATCCGCCTATACGTCTTTTAAATTTAAAATAGACGCTGGTAAAAGTAAATACTTAATATATAAAAACTATCATTAACGATATTATATTTATTTTAAAAGAGATAGAGGGCATAGCGGATTTCTCGGTGGAATTGGAGCGCCCGTCTGGAAAAGTAACCTTTTTCTTACAGAAGACCACAGTAAAATAACACTTCCTACCTTTTGGTGTTGTGTTTCTGTCGGTGGTGGAGGAGCTCGATGGCGCAAGTGGTTAGCGCGTTCGGCTGCGGTCGTTGAAGTTGAGCAACTATCGCAGTGGTCGGTCATAGGATGGGTGACCAAAAATTTACTATCTCGAGCTCCTCCGTGCTTCGGAAGGCACGTTAAGCCGTTGATCCCGGCTGCATCTGCAGTCGCTAGCACCCACCATTCCGCACGGGGCCCGCGTGGTGGGTCATGGCCCAATCTCCCTATTCCATTCGTAGGGAAGGCCTATGCCCCAGCAGTGGGGACATTAATAGGCTGATGATGATTCTGTTGGTGAATAAGGTTTTAGGACTCCACGGGGACGGGGATTGGGTTCAGGCCAGCAAGGTGAGAATGGCTGGAGCGGCACACTTTTCTATCGCATCAGTTATCTTCAGACTTCACTAGTCCCCACTCACACTTAAATATCTGGCTGGGGAGGGGAAATTTTCTGCGCCTTGTATTAAAAAAATAACAAAATATATCTCACTGACTATTAGATTCTAACGCATATATCTTTAGATGGGTATATAGAACCGAAACCACTTGAGTATTTATTCACTGACAAATCTCGAAAACTACTAAAATATGAAGGTGAAATTTTACACGAAAGTAATTATGATTAGGAGTCGTTGCCTAAAAAGGATTTTAGGAAACTCCCTTAAAATGGGGATAAATGTGTGTAAATTTTTTTTTTAAAGTTGTTAATATCGGAGTTGGTAATTAATTAGGCTACCTAGAAAATTAGAAAATGGTAGTATTTTATAATTTATACTCTGAGTGGTTACAATGTAGGATCAAAGTTTTATTCTGCGCGTGCGAAGCCGCTGACGGAAAGCTAGTACCTATTTTTATAAGAGCATAATAACAATAATATAAATAATTATTAAGCTCATTCTTTTTGAGGGTAAAAAGGTTATATATATAGGTTTACTTTAAAAATATGACTACACCAGATTCATGAATTCAATATTAAAATCGAAACCAAATGTAAAATTACGCGTATGATTATTGTTGTTGTTTTATTATTTCTTTATTTGGTCCCGATATCGCACGCGCATCACAGAAATCCCGAGATGTTGCCCAACCGTTGGCTCTAGCTGTGTAGCGGAATAGAGCAACGTCTCGCATAATATTTACTCTCGCACGCATCATTCATAAATGCACCCAGTGCAGCGCTATGCTAATTGGTTATAGTAAAATACTACAACCAATCAGGATGGGCCCGTAAAATCACCCGTCTAGCGCTTGCACAGGAAAGATTTTTTGAAGTGTACAGGCGCCCGTGACCCCCACTGTACATCAAATTGTATGGAAACAGAGCATGTCATATATTGAGTACTCAAGAGAACAAATTCGAAGATCAAGCGATTCGAGCAAAGGAGCTCGATGGCGCAGGTGGTTAGCGCTTTCGGCTGCGATCGTTGGAAGTTAAGCAACTTTCGCAGTGGTCGGTCATTGGATGGGTGACCAAAAATTTTATCTCGAGCTCCTCCGTTCTTCGGAAGGCACGTTAAGCCGTTGGTCCCGGCTGCATCTGCAGTCGTTAGCACCCACCAATCCGCACTGGGCCCGCGTGGTGGCCCAAACTCCGTATTTCTTCCATAGGGAAGGCCTGTGCTCCAGCAGTGGGGACAATAATAGGCTGATAATGATGATGAAGAGAACAAATTTAGTGGTGAAAAAGCATGCCCCCCCTATTTCAATTATATCTTTTTACAGCTTAAGGCTACGTTCAGATGGTCGTACGTTGTTGCGAGAAATTATACACTCGATCAAATGTACGTCCGATGACGCGCAACCATCTGAACTTAGATTTGTATGACAATAATAGGCTTAAGCTTTTGATTTGAGCTAATATATCAAAATTAGAAAATCTGATATTTGAGGACTGCTCTTTCATATTTGGGGATGTACGGATCCCGGTCGGTATGTAGCAGGAATCACAAAGTAACCGAAATTGATGTTTTGTATTCAATTTCTTCTGTGCTCCACAGAGATTTAGCTGATGTTTTTAAATAATACAGTATTGGAGAAAGCATGACAGTTTCCCTTTAGGGCATGTTTTGACATTTCGCATCCCACTTGCGTTATCGTGTCCGTGATGCTAGCGTACCCACGATCAAAATACGGTTTTTCGTTATGCCATTAAATACTGCGTAAATAGTGCCAAATTAGTGTAAAAAACAAAAAAATAGTGCCTCTTTAATTTAAGAAATAAAGACCATTTTTACTGTGTACGCTAACATGACGTCAAGCTAGCGTACCCATGGCCGACCCCGAGAACGGCATATATTTAAGCAACGAAATTGACACACAAAAATAGTTCGCAAATAGTGCCCTGGCTTTACAAAATTTCATAATCAATACTCTTAAGGGACCAAAGATATTGAACTAAACATTCTTAGAACTATTATGGGTACGCTAGGTTGACGCCAGCTAAATATGCAGCTAAAAAAATGGTCTTTATTTCTTAAATTAAAGAGGCACTATTTTTTTGATGTTTACACTAATTTGGCACTATTTACGCAGTATTTAATGGCATAACGAAAAACCGTATATTGATCGTGGGTACGCTAGCATCACGGACACGCGTTATCTATTTCAATCAGTCTGCGGCGCGGACATTGTCCGTTTTTTATTCAAAATAAAGAAGCGTTCTGTTTTCTGTATGTGTAGCGTCGCGACGGTTCTACAAAATTTGTATAAAAATGACGCGGAAGAGACATTATGTCCACGCCCTGTCTGCGTCTGCGTCTTACGGCTTATTCTACTGTCCCCAAAACATCATAATAATGGCCACATGACTTGTCGTGTCCACACTGGTCTGAACTATCCCCTCATCAAGTAACTACATTGTACTATATTATAAAGTTAACATTTAAACACATTATTGGGTGGTGAGGCAGTGAGGACATACTTGCTTAACAAAAATGGATACTTATGTGATCTCTTTGTCAGCGTGACTAGACTAATGCCAAATAACAGCTACCACGTCTCAAAGATAAGCTGCTGAAAGATTCACGGGCGGACAAACAAAGGATGGAATAGACGAAGCTGTTAATTTAAACATCCTACATCCTACTAATATTATAAATGCGAAATTTTAAATGGACGTTCGTTAGTCTGTCACACAAAAACGGCTGGACGGATTTGGATGAAATTTGGTATTTATATATACATACATACATATATTTATCAACTATAGAAATATAGGCTACTTATTTCACCAAAAAATTTTATGTTCCTGTAGAATTCTCAAAAAACTAACTTAAGCCTGATGAAGTAGCGGGCGCTAGCTAAATTTTATTTGTAAATCGGATTATCAAAGGCATTCTACTATTTTCATTTATCAATCTATTGGTTTCATTGCAGATTTGTGAAAGCGGCTCACGGGACATCAAAGAACCACCACCTGGCAAAGTATTTCGTTGATCTAAGTTTAGGTGAATACACAATGGCACATTACCGTCCATCGGAACTTTCAGCTGCTGCTATTTGTCTGTCTTTATACCTTTTGTCAAGCAAAAAACTAGAAGATGTTTGGACGCCCACTTTATCCTATTATTCAGGTTATTCCTTAGAACATATTGACCCTATTATTAGAAAGCTAGCCAAAATAGTAGTGAATGTCGAGAATTCCAAATATAAAGCTGTATACAATAAGTATTTGGATACAACATTAGCCAAAGTGTCGGGCTTGCCACAACTCAAAGGCGAGGCTATTTATGAACTAGCAAAGATACCATCGAGTACATAGGACCACATAATTTTATTTGTATAATGGACTGAATTAGCTTTTGTTGTGTGATTAGAAGTTTGTATGACTTGTCTTATATCACAGGTTTGTTATAGGAAGTACCTGTTTTGGCTTTATAGGATAATATTAGTATTTTATTTAATAGTACTTTAATATTGATGACTGCGAGATTTTAGACATTATTATAGTTGTAATGTGATGTTTTTATGTGTAATTATTGTAAGATTTTTGTAATAATAACTACAAAAGTTCTGAAAATGTATTCGTCGACAATTTTTGATAATTATTGTGATTTGTATTTTATTTATTCGTATTGCATCAATATCAATTCGTGACTTTTAATGTATGTATGTATGCGAGGTTCACCGAATCTCTTCTTATGCGCCATCAAATAGGTTTTCCCTACTCAACAAGGTGTAAATAAGAATCTAGAATAATGAATATTCTATAATGTTTATTAAGAGTTACTTAAGTACATCTTGTTAGGTACGTTTTTAATTTTAATTTGACTAAAATATTCTTTTGAATTGTAATGTTAAGATATTGTATGTGATGGGGAGGGATAGGCAACGCTTCGCTCATGTTCCAGTGTTTGTTAAATAAAATTTTTACGATACCATTTCAATGTTTTATTTTTAGTAAATGGCATCTTGAACTTCTAAGATTTCCGAACGAAAACGGCGCCTAAGGTTGCTTTTAGAAAAGACGGTAAATGCAAGTCAACCTACTAGATGGCGGCACTAGTCGGCCCAAGAACAGTACGAGGCACGGTAAAGTCGTGTCCGTGATGCTAGCGTACCCACGATCAATATACGGTTTTTCGTTATGCCATTAAATACTGCGTAAATAGTGCCAAATTAGTGTAAAAATAAAAAAAATAATGCCTCTTTAATTTAAGAAATAAAGACCATTTTTACTGTGTACGCTACCATGACGTCAAGCTAGCGTACCCATGGCCCACCCCAAAAACGGCATATATTTAAGCAACGAAATTGACACACAAAAATAGTTCGCAAATAGTGCCCTGGCTTTACAAAATCTCATAATCAATACTCTTAAAGTACCAAAGATATTGAACTAAACATTCTTAGCTGGCGTCAACCTGACGTACCCATAATAGTTCTCATAGAAAATGAACTTTTATCGTTATCAATTCTATATGTATAAATAGTGTGTCAAATAGTGCCTCTAACAGTAAAAGTATTTTATGTGAATTCACAGTAAAACAATATAAAAAAGCAATTAAATTATTTTTATATATAAAGTACAGTCATGTACAGAAGTGATAATATTTTCGTAGTATAGTAGGTAGGTAAGGTACTTAGTAGGTAGGTTGAAATTCTTATATGAATTTATGATTGGTGAATTCGAATTGAAATAAAATATCTTTTTATAAAAAGTACCTATTTATTTTAGTAAAAATACATATATAGATAATTTCTTAGTGCATAAATTATTTTTGTGTGCAACTGTACTACAATACATTTGTTCCTAGAATTTAAGATTCTCTTTATGTATTGTTGTGATGCGGTATTGATAACGATAAAAGTTCATTTTCTATGAGAACTATTATGGGTACGCCAGGTTGACGCCAGCTAAGAATGTTTAGTTCAATATCTTTGGTACTATATGAGTATTGAATATGAGATTTTGTAAAGCCAGGGCACTATTTGCGAACTATTTTTGTGTGTCAATTTCGTTGCTTAAATATATGCCGTTCTTGGGTTCGGTCATGGGTACGCTAGCTTGACGTCATGTTAGCGTACACAGTAAAAATGGTCTTTATTTCTTAAATTAAAGAGGCACTATTTTTTTGTTTTTTACACTAATTTGGCACTATTTACGCAGTATTTAATGGCATAACGAAAAACCGTATATTGATCGTGGGTACGCTAGCATCACGGACACGTAAAGTCAGTATTTATTTATTATTTAATTCTAGAACAAAATCCACAGCATTTTCTTAATATAATACAGGTTTTACAATATAGTTTATCTTAATGCCAATTACGGATTTTCATTTTTTAGTCATAGCATAATAGTTTAGAAAACCCTCTACCAAACAAGGGCGAGATGTGTGCAATGCGTGCGTGCCATTGTATATGTGTGTGTGTGTGTGTGTGTGTGTGTGTGTGTGTGTGTGTGTGTGTGTGTGTGTGTGTGTGTGTGTGTGTGTGTGTGTGTGTGTGTGTGTGTGTGTGTGTGTGTGTGTGTGTGTGTGTGTGTGTGTGTGTGTGTGTGTGTGTGTGTGTGTGTGTGTGTGTGTGTGTGTGTGTGTGTGTGTGTGTGTGTGTGTGTGTGTGTGTGTGTGTGTGTGTGTGTGTGTGTGTGTGTGTGTGTGTGTGTGTGTGTGTGTGTGTGTGTGTGTGTGTGTGTGTGTGTGTGTGTGTGTGTGTGTGTGTGTGTGTGTGTGTGTGTGTGTGTGTGTGTGTGTGTGTGTGTGTGTGTGTGTGTGTGTGTGTGTGTGTGTGTGTGTGTGTGTGTGTGTGTGTGTGTGTGTGTGTGTGTGTGTGTGTGTGTGTGTGTGAGTGTGTGTATGTGTGTGTTTGTGTATATATGTATACATGTGTAAGTGTTTCATTGTATATTACCAATCAACCAACAGCCCTAAGGCGCTTTGCAGACGACGGGGCGGGGCGGGCCGGTCAATTTCGCCGCGAATAATAGCACAAAGTGAATCCTATACTACAAACTCACACAGGGGGCAAAGAGACCGCGCCGCAGGTGCCCGGCGGGCAGTGGCGGCGCGGCATGTCCGCGGCTGCCCGCCGTGGATCTACAAACCAGTTTATATGCAGTAACGCAGACGGTGGCGCGGGGCGGTCAGCTCAGTCCGCGCCGCGCGCTTAGTGATGGACTATTCACTAGAACGAACTTCCTAAACTGACCGCCTCTGCCCGTCGTGTGCTTTGTGTACGCGGCGCGGGCAGCCGCAGACATCGACGGGCAGACGCGGTCTTTATTGCTTCGCGGACAAAAAGCCCGCCCCGCCCCGTCGTCTGCTAAACGCCTAAAAGTTGTTTTTTAAAAGATGCTTTACTTTTGCAAGTAAATATGTCAACAGCCGTGAATTTTTTATTGTATGTACTTTGCGATCGAAAAACAACTGAGTTTTGTGCATAGAATGTGTGACATGTAGAAATTGCGAAAAAGAAAGATGATGTATGTCTGGTAGGGTAGTGGGCGTGTAGAGTGTTAAAAATGAAGAGGTAAGCTCAGTGCAGTCTATATTCCCTTTGCAAACGTCGTAGAGAAATGTCATATCGAGCATAGTGCGCCTGTCCTCAAGAGGGACCAAACGATGGAAACGACATCCTTCCCTATAGTCCGGACAGTCATTTCTTTTTCTGTAATTAAGATGCTTAACAAATTTTGACTGTATCGATTCTAAGTCATGTTTATAAGTAATGTATTGTGTATGTGTGTGCAATATTCGAGAGCACTACGACAGTATGCAAAGTACAAAATCTTTAAACAGAGAGTATCAGTAAAAGGCTTGCCAATCCTCAAAATAAACCCTAAATTCTTATAAGCTTTGTTGACTATTGTTGCTACGTGGGTAGAAAAAGTTAATTTATCATCAAAGAGTATACCGAGATCTTTCACCAGATACGTTCGTGTAATAGATGTGCTATTCAAACAATAATCAAACGCAATAGGAACTTTTTTGCGCGTAAAGGTAATTATCAGACACTTGATCACATTGATATTTATTTTATTTTGTTGGTAATAAGTTGATAATCTGTCTAAGTCCTCCTGAAGTTTTAGGCAGTCCAACGTAGATTTTATAGACATATAAATCTTCGTATCATCTGCATACATTAGATACTTAGCATATCGAAAACACTGACCTATGTCGTAGAGGTAAGCGACATACAGAAGAGGACCGATTATCGATCCCTGCGGCACATCGGATGGTATAGTAACATAATCAGATCTGAGTTCACCCATAACTACCGCTTGACGTCGATTGCGCAGGTAGGACTCAAACCACCTTAGCAGGTCTCCACGTATCCCAATTTCGTGAAGCTTACGGAGAAGGATTAAATGATCGACGCGATCGAACGCCTTCTCAAAATCTGTATAGATCGTATCAACCTGATTTCCCCCATCAACGCTCTCGAAGACATCTTGCGAAAACACGGCGAGATTGCTATTAGTCGACCTGCCCTTTATAAACCCATGTTGCTGTTCAGGGATAATGCTATTAATGAAGGGATAAACATGATGGTGGACAACCTCTTCAAACAGCTTGCTGAGAACATTAAGAATTGATATTGGCCGATAATTCTCAACCAACGTCTTAAGTCCCTTCTTGTGTATGGGTACAATGTGGGCAGTTTTCCAGATATCGGGGAAAAAACCTTCACGCAAACATCTATTGAAAATAAAAGTTATGGGCGCAACTAATGATTCCGCACATCGGACAAAAAATATTGAAATGGAAGTATTTTATATGAAGGGTTAAGGGGAAAAACAGGCCTAGTATTTTTTTTTAAACTGATTTTATGGAATCTATGGCCATAAGAATACTCATTTCTTCTTTTGGCTCACATCACAAAAAAAGGTAAAACACGTAGCCTCTTGGGGTCTTAGACTGTAAGGGTGTTTTATTGATAATCAGTTATTTTTTGTTATTGTGCAATTTTTATTCATAAAATATATTAATAGTACCTATACTTGTACTACTTTACTAGCGTGCCGTGCCACGCGCAGTGTAGGGTGTAAATCATCTCCAGGATACATGTAGATACCATATAAAAATTTTTTTTTCAATGTTTTATTCTATCATTTTGTCGGCATGATTGATATACATATTTCCACAAAATTATAGCTCACTAGTGCTAAGTCTTCAAGCAAATCCGGGGACGGACAGATGGAAATTACGAAACTATCAGGGTTCCGTGGTTCCTTGTCAGGACTACGGAACCCTAAAAAGGGAGCAAACGAGCATATTATTGTGGCGTAAGCCTATCGTCCACCTCCCGGGGAGCTCGCCAATTTTGGCCATCATTAGTACAACCTTTTATTTTGATTAAACGACTTTTGTTGTGATAAGATTATGATAATTGCTATTATTAAGTGCTATTTGTATTTCTCTAGTCTTTTATGAAATGTTGATTCCCCCACAGTCTGACTACTCGCGCGGGACTGTTGTTGAAATAATTAATTTATTATTTATATAGATTACTTGTTGTGTTGCTATATTATAATTACCTACTGATGTATTATTAGAAAACGCGAATAAGTTTTATCGCGTTAATCCGATATCTCGGCGTTCGGGAGCGGCACACAACTGACAGGTTTCATTAAACTTCGACAGATTTTAATGGCAAAGGAAAAGATTAAAAGTGAAGATCCTCTTGTAATAATAGGTCAAATCACTGTCAAAATGTTAGGAAACAAATCTTGAAAGTCAGTAGACCGGATATTTAGGATTAGTTATGTTACAGTGCGATAAGACAACCGAAAAACCCGCTTAATGTGGACAGTAATTTTGAACGGAATTTGTATCTAGATTTTTTGGTTTCCGTACCTCTATAGAAAAAAACGGAACCCTTATAGGATCACTTTGCTGTCCGTCTGTCCGTCCGTCTATTTGTCTGTCATGATCCTTTAA